TCAGCAGTCTGAATGGGATGAGCATGTATTTCTTCCACCCGAGTGTCTGCTTCTAGTTCTAGTAATGCCTTGTCTTCTTGAAATGGTCGAAGAACGAAGCTTCCGTCCACTTTCAGATTTCTTTTAATCTCCTCTGCGACACATCTCCAGTTGCCTACTCTTTTGTTTGCAAGTATCACATATTTCTTACGCCAGTTCTGGTATGCTTGGTCTTCCTTCCCTGCAACCTCCTTTTCACCAACTATATGCGATAGGTTTTCCAGAGCCTGGTTGGGTTGGATATTTGTTGGCCTATTTTCGTTTCTCCATAGGAACATCTGCAATTCCTTTATGAACAGCAACCACCCCTTCCCACTAGTTTGTATTGCTTTGCTTCGAATGACATTTCCTTTCTCCACCTTCCCACTACTTCAAACTCTTCCTCCATGACTTGGCAGCTCACAAGTCATCAGTTACGTCAGCAAGCAAGGTTTTCTTCTTATTTCAATATGGTTCCGCATTGATTCTTGTCTATGTTGGGGGGTTTCCAATCAGCCTTGTAAATGCTTTTCATTCCAGGTGACATTTCTGCTTAGGGTGTCAAAAGTCTTTTGGAATTTCTTGTACTTCTTGGTGTATAGACCTTTCTCTAGCATGGCTCCTTTATTTTTTCTTGCCTCCACCCATTAGCATACATCTTGTATCTTCTATCCAATAAAAGCAAAACAAGATTCTAATCGTAGCATTCCAATACATGGATTGCTAAAAGGTCCAACCCTCTTGCTTATTGATTGACAATAAACAGTATAATCAGAAAAATGTACAAAGGAAGTTCATACAAGATTTACACAAGAAATTATCAAATACATAAAAAAACACTTACAGTTCAACATCTGAAATCATTATCTAATTCCATAAATAAACAAACTGTACATAGGAAGAGCATATCAACCAACATATGATAAATGCCAAGCCACATAGAGCTACAACAAAAGAACCATAAAGCCCATAGCATGTACCATAAGTTAGCTTAGCTCTTTGGTTGCTAAAACTAACAACTGAAGCATCCAATGTAGATATTAAAAAAGGTTGCAAATGATCTACCACTTGCAATGGGGAGCTATGGACAACAAAATGACACCATTTCTATGATTTTCTTTTGGACAGGTACACCATTTCCATGATTTTCCTACTAAAACCAATGGAAAGTCTTTGTCTTTTTTATTGGAAATGGTAAATTTCATTAATTTGGAAATTCCTATACAAGATACATTGGTCCAGTCCCTAATAGTAGGGAAACCGACCCCCAAAAGAAAAACTATTACAATTCAGCCCAGAACAAGTCACTCCTGTTTGTGCCTTGTTTGGCTAAAGAATCAGCCAAACCATTTGTCTTCAAGAATAAAAAGCACTTCTCAACAAATACTTTCCTCTTCTAGGAATAATGCTATTGCTCAAACTTGAGGCAAGCTGATTGTCATATGGAAAATGCAATAAGGAATCAATCAGCACCCTGAAAATATTGCTGGAGTATTCAGGCATTGGTGGAGAATTGAGAACAAATCTTGGTAACATTTTAGCCATATATTGAGCTCCCAGAGGGATTGGGGACTCCACTAGAGCTGAAGAATTAGCAGTTTTATAAGTGTTGACACTGGCCAGATCCTGTGCCTTTAGGAACATATTGGTGGAAGAAGATTCTAAAGCAGCAGTGAACTGAATACGGAATGAATGTCTGGGTTAGTCAGAGTTAACATCTTTTCTGAAAAGAGATAAGGCATCATTTCAAGAACAAAAAAACCAATAGCAACCAGTGGCTGTATAACGGGAAGTACAAAGAAAAGCATTTGAGGATACAAAAAAGATTTTCAAATTCCAAATGAGAACAAATGGTAGACGTAGATCCTTCTAAATCTAACTGTGCTGATGCCCAGGATAACAGCTTCCTCACAATTTTCTGCCAGAATTCTTCCTCATGGCATCCTTTGCTTTGGAAATTCCTGATTCTTCTACTCTGTTACAAAGGACACACTCTGGTACGTCAATCACCATTCCCCTTCTAATCAGGTTGTCCTTTTGTGAGGATCCGGTTCAGGTAGGCCGACCAAACAAAAAAAAAAAAAAGCTATTTTCAGGGGATAAACTTGCACCAGATAATGATCAAGGAAAATCCTTCTCTTCCTCTTGAGTCAATCAACCAATCATTCAGATCTCTTCTGAACAGAAGGTTCAAATGTGTTCCCCATTTTGGAACTGCACATAGTGAGCCACTTTTGCATCCTTATCAACTACAAAAGCAAAGAGTTCCGGGAATTCATTCTTTAAAGAATCCATTCCACACTAGCAATCCTTCCAAAATCTGACCCCAGTACCCTTCCCCACTTCAAACTTTAACTTCTTTACTGAAATGACTGTAGCCCTTTTCAATTCCTTTGCAAACTGAGCAGCCATATGACTGATTTAATTCACCCAGGCCCCACCCCTCATTTCCACAAAGGACTGCCTTGTTGACCAAACCTCCAAAACAACTTGCCAAATAGTGCTATATTCAGTTCTCTTAGTGTTCTCATACCCAAGCTGCCATACTTCTTTTGTTTACAACCCTTTCCCCAATTTAACAAGTGGATTTTCCTACCATCCTTCCAGCCTTTCCACAAGAACTCTCTCATTCTTTTCTCAATTGCTGAAGCCTTTCCAACTCGAATCGGGTAGACAGGTAATAAATAAACAGGAAGAGAAGATAATATACTTTTTATTAAAGTGAGTTTGCCCCTAGTCAAACAGATATTCTGCCTTCCACCCAGCCAACCTTTTCTCTATCCTCTCCACGATTGGTTCCCAAATGGACTTGGCATTGCATTTGGCCCCAAAGAGTAGGGGTGAGCATTCGGTTTACTCGATTAAAAATCGAACCGAATAAACTGAAATTTTAAAAACCAAATTAAAAAATGAAAACCAAACCAAAACCAAATTATAGAAAAACAAAAATTTTTTGTTCAGTTTTCGGTTATTTCATTTAAAACCAAATTTCAATAATATATATTATGAAATTAAATTTCATTATATTATATTAATATGTAAATATATTATATATTAAATACTATGTGTATATTATATACTATATATTACATGTTATATAGCAAAGTTTGGTTAATTCAGAATTTTCGGTTAATCGAATTTCTTATTCTAAAAATCGAAACCAAAACCGAAATATTCAAAAAACGGAAATAACCAAACCAAATACTGAAACAATCAAACCAAAACCGAAATTTGCAGTTCAGTTTTTCGGTTTTTAACGAATAATGCCCATCCCTACGCGAGGACATTCCTAGATACTTTAAAAGGAATTTTTCCACTTCAAAATCCCAAAAATCTGCCCACAGTTGCACATTTTGTACCTCTCCTACTGCTACCAGCTCACTTGTGTACATTCAGGTGTAAGCCAAAATCAACTACAAACCACCACAATAATGTGGTGTTGCCATCAAATAGTCCAGCTGCTCTCACAAGGCATTGCCAAAAAAAAGAAAAAAAAAAAAAAAACTGAATCATCAGCAAACTATAACAAAGGAATCTCCAAGTTACTCTCACCCACTGTAAGACCTTCCAAAATACCTGATACTGCTCTCAAAGTCAGTTTCCCCAAAACTTCCATCACACAAAGAAAAAGTAGGAAAGACAAGGGATCCCCTGCCTTAAACCTCTCGAGCTCCTGAAAGCCTTTGAAATGACCACAAGCCACACCATTAACCAAAACCGAAAAAGGAGTTGTAACACATACACACATCCAATTCCCCCACCTAGAACTGAAGTTCATCCTCCTTAGGAATTATGAAAAAAAATGGGCTAACTTTAAGATGCCCCTAACCATTTGGTGCAACATCTGAGTCTGGACTCTTAATTTTAAAGATTCCTCTTAATGGCTCAAATGCCCATCTTCCTCTAAGTAAGCTAAGAGGTGTTTTATAACCTTATGTTCTAAAAATTACTGCCCATCTCTCTTTCACTTCTCCTTTCTGGTGGAGACAGTGCTAGTAAACCACTTTTTACTTCTCATTCTCTTCATAATTTCATCTACCTCATCCCCCCACAAAGAAAAACAAATTCATAAGGTAAATATGCAATTTTTTCAGGTATTCAAACAGGTCAACTGAATTTAGAGGACAGAAAAGCCAAAAAGCAAACTATATTGGGCTGAATTGTAAAAAATTTATGATACACTGTTGATTTAGTTGTAAAGTGGGGACCAGTTCATGGGAGTGGTAGACCTACCACCTTCAGGGCCTTGTAAATCTTTTTCTTCTTTCAATAAAAATCTTAGCTACCTATCAAAAAAGCAAACTTTTTCTGTTCAGTCTAGACCAAAACTCCTGTTTTTTGCTTTCTCAGGGATCTGAGTTCAGTTTTATCAAAGGTGAACTTTGTAACTAATTATTCATGGGTGCAAAGATCAGCAAATGGTTTTCCAACAAAGTGGCCAAACAAAGAGTGAACAGAATTCAACTTTTCTGGGTACAATTGTAGATAAGATTTTGAGTTAAATGGGAAGGGTTAGGTAACAAAATAAAGCTTGAATAGAACATTCTTTTATCACAATTAATTGAGAATAACTGGCACTCGTTAGAACACTTTTATCACAACTAATAAAGCTTGATTGTTATCAATGACAAAAAATCAGAACCCTGAACACCTATTACCAACAGGAGACCTTAAATCCTGTCCAGTTATTTATGGCACATTACAGCTCCATTGTCCACATTGAATTACCACTTCTCTGTCTAGGCCACCACCTAAGCTTTGAACTATGCTACTGTAGGTCATCTGAAACTCCAAACATGGACTACAAAAATGGACACTTCATCTATTAGACCAACTTTTAAATCTTCTGTAGATAGCACTAGTAAGGCTAACAAAAAGTAACAGATTGATTCTTGAAATGGTAATAAACAGACCAATTATCAAGAAACAAGCATGTTGTGTTAAAACCAAAGAACAATAATATGTGAAAAAACGAGAATCACCTTCAACTGTTCAAGAAGAAAACAAAGACATTTCCTTCTCAGCTCTTCTGCATACTTCTTTGGAATGGTAGTACCTGCACATAACATATCTTCTGCGTAAAGTAGATACTTACCTTGGTTTTGATCCGGGTCATAAATGTTAAGTTTGATTATACAATATTAACTTATATCATTACCTTTTACTTGCACATGTGTATTGCATGTGCCCTTACACTAATACATATTCATACAACTATAGAAAGAGCAAAAGATGTCACTAAAGATGAAAGAAAACATAAAGGGACAGTTCTTTAGAAAATGAATGTGATAATGAACATTCAGCACCCTTAGGACAGTTTAGCACCCTTAGGCAGGCTCAGGCTGAACATTTGTTAAAATTTGAATGACCTGGCCCAGGGATCCAGATGTGTAAATTCATCAAATTAAATACCTACCTAATGTTCACCCCTACTGTTGGCCTATGGAAAAGACTAAAAAAAGAAAAGATGACTAAATTTAAATGAGGCAAGGGCATACCTAAATTTAGACCATCAAGCAACACAAGGAATGCCCCATGTATGAGTGCATAATCAGATCCAAGACTTTCTTCTGTTGCATTGATAAAGGCAACCCAAGATAGAAAATCCCTTACAGTAAGTATTCTCCCTGTTTGCAACTGGTTGAACCACTGTTTACCAAAATATGTGAATCTTAATATAGAAATATATATCAAGATGGCTCAAACATAAAAATACCATAAAATAAATCAAAAACAACATAATTCATAATCACTTTCAAAATGAATTGATATAATTACATTGGTTCCATAGTTTTCAAGGTGCCAAGGCAAGGCTAGGTGACAAGGGGGCGCCTTGTCACCTGTTGAAGACTAATTAGTTTTATGTTGTTTTTCTGAGTAGATGTTTTATGTTAGTTGTTAGATATGAGGTGGGGACCACAGTAGTTATGTGAGTCCAAATTTTATTATGTTTCTGAGTGTTATGTATGCTGTTTTATGTTTTGCCGCCCTATAAGGACATAGTTGTCTTTGTACTGTTCTATTATTTTAGTATAAATAATAAGTGAAGGGGGCAGCCAGATTATTGCTCTCTTTTCTTTCAACTTCTCTTCTTCTCTTCTTCTCCTTCTCTCTTCCTTCTCTCTTCAAGAAACTACTTTCTTTCATATTTTTTTTTTAATTC